GGTAGCTGCCCCCTGCCCTACCGGGGCTCCTGGAGGCCTTGCACCCCGGAGGTCCCGAGTGTGGGGAAGCCCCGTGAGGACGCTGGGCGTCGGAAGGCAGATTCTGCGTCCTAGGAGGGGTCCCTGCCGCCTCTGGCCCCTGCACGCGCAGGCTAGGAGCTAGGAAAGGAGGGGTTGGCTGGTCCACCCCACGTGCTGCTCACCCACGAGACAGGTCTGGCCTGACGTGACCTGGTATTCAGATGCATTGCTTGCAGTTTTCCCCCACCTGAGCCGTACTTGTTTGTCGGCCTCCTCCTCTCCCCAAAACTCGAGTGCAGCTGCTGTTTGACAACTGCGGCTCTGCGCTGGGGGATGGGTGAGGTCTGGGGGCGCGGCGGGGACTGGAGAGTTCAAGTCTCCAGTTGGATGATCAAAGACTCATTTTCTTTTTTTGTCTCTCCTTTCTCTCTGTGTCTCTGTGCCTGTGTGTGCCTCTCCCACAGATTCCCGTAGCCCAGACAGTTCCTCCCCCAACCCCCTCCCCCAAGGGGTCCCTCCCAATTCTCCTCCTGGCCCGCCCCTCCCCCCTTCAGCAGTCCCATTCCTGGGAGGCTCTGGGGCCCCACCACCACCACCGATGCCACCACCCCCACTGGGCTCCCCTTTCCCGGTCATCAGTTCTTCCATGGGGTCTCCTGGTCTGCCCCCTCCTGCTCCCCCAGGATTCTCCGGGCCTGTCAGCAGCCCCCAGGTGAGAGGTTGCCACCGCCTACTGCCTCTCCACTCTCCAGTCCTTGTCTTCCTGGTCACCCTGAGCCCTATGTGAACTTCCCCATGGCCCAGCGACCTTCCAGTCCTCTAGTCCTGCCAGGCCTGTGGTCCCTGAGAGACCCCTAGCCCTTCCCGAGATGACATGCTTCCTCCCCACTATTAAAGAACGCTGATATACTTCCCGTCCCTTATCTTTTAGGGATTTTCTACCCTGTTGGTCCCGTCTGCCCTTCCAGGACACATTTCCTTCATGGCCACTGTGTTGCACAGTTTCGGGGGGAACTGTTACCTGTTCTCTGTGGAGTTCTGCTCCAGGGATGGCTGGCCACATAGACTGCAGTGCAAATAGTCCCCTCTGGAATGTGCAGGGCAGGGTCCTGGCTAGTGTGGACAGGTGCTCCTCCCGGGCGAGTCCCCCTGTGACTTCCCTATTTCCCCCATCTCAGATAAACTCAACAGTGTCGCTCCCTGGGGGTGGGTCTGGCCCCCCTGAAGATGTGAAGCCACCAGTCTTAGGGGTGCGGGGCCTGCACTGTCCACCCCCTCCAGGTGGCCCTGGGGCTGGCAAACGGCTATGTGCAATCTGCGGGGACAGAAGCTCAGGTATGAGGCTCAGGGTCAGCACAGAGAAAGAGTCTGGGCCAGTGACCGTCACCTGTGGGATTCCAGGGGCTTATCCGGTCGGGTCAGAGCAAGTGAACTGGGGGAGCCCTGAGGAGAGCTAAGGAACCTGAGGCTCAGGTGTGTGTGGGGTGGGGGTCAGAGGGACAGCGGGGGAGTGGGACGGGATCATCCCTCACCTGGTTTCCCCGTCTTTGTATTCGGAAACACAGAGGGAGGACTTAAGCTAAGTTTTGCTGGGGCGGCTGACAAGAAGCTTCAGGTGAGGGGACCTCTATGCAGCCTCCATTGCTGTCACGTCCCCCTTAGGCAAACACTATGGGGTCTACAGCTGCGAGGGCTGCAAGGGCTTCTTCAAGCGCACCATCCGCAAGGACCTGACCTACTCGTGCCGGGACAACAAAGACTGCACAGTGGACAAGCGCCAGCGGAACCGCTGTCAGTACTGCCGCTACCAGAAGTGCCTGGCCACTGGCATGAAGAGGGAGGGTAAGGACCCACCCCACCCCGGGGAGTGGAGGGAAGAGGCAGAGGGAAGGTTGGTGGAAACCACGTATACACACACACACACACACACACGTGTAAATATACATGTGTACACAAAGTCCCTGACCTCAGGGGGCACTTCCTGCAGCAGTGCAGTCACTGCGGTCAGGACACCCAGCCCTAAGCCTCCTCCAAAGGAAGCACCGATGGCCAGACCAGATGTGTGTGAGACTCAGGAGAGGAGGCTTTTCGCTTCTCCTCTAGAGGGCGGTGTTCGACTTCTCCCGTCATCAGCTCTTCTCCCCGGAGCCTTGCTCTGGGTTCCTATGGCTCTGCCTCTGTGCCTGCACCGACTTCTCCCCTGGCTAGCCCTAGGATAACCTTTCCTTTCCCACGACGGGCTTCCCTGTCTCCTCTAACCCGACTAGTCCATCCTTCTTTTAACCCCACGCTCCTTTCTCGGCTCCATCTTGCTATCTGTGGTCCTTCCTCCACCCTCTAGTCCTTAGGGCTTGCTTCCCCCTATGTTGTTTCCATTAAGACATTTTTTTTTTTTAAATTTTAAGAGTTTTGCTATAGGGTACATGCGCTTGCCAGAGAGAAACTGAGAGGGAAAGTGAGAAATCACCCCCTGGGGAATGGCCACCCCACAGTCCCTTCTCCATTCTCTTCCTGGGATTTTGGAAACACAGGCATGCACGCGTGCGTGTGCCTAGCTTGATTTTCAAGGTGCCAGGTACAGAACTTGAACCTTGGTCGGCATTGTGGGAATCTAGCACCATAACCACTATGCTTCCTGCTGGCCCCCCATCTTATTTTTCTAAGTCTGTCAAAATTCTTTTTTTAAAAAATAATTATTTTATCAAACTTCATTTATGGATTTATTTAATTTGACCAGAGAAGGACAGAGTGAGGGAGAGAGAGAGAGAGAGAGGAAGGGAGAGAAAGTGAGAAAGCAAGCCTTCAGGTCCAGGACTTGAACCACAGTCAGCCATGGGGGAATACAGTGCCCTTAACCACCATACCACCTGCCGGCCCTAGTCTGTCAAAATTCTGAGAGAGACACTTTAGAGAGTATCTTGGCTAAATACCTCATTTTAGGGAAGGTGAACCTAAAGAACTCCTTTTACTGTCTGTTGAGTGAGAAGCACACAGGATTTGCAGCCAGGCTCATGTCCTTTCAAATGCCATGTCTGTGTAAACTTGGGTAAGCCGCTTAACCTCTTCCAGCCTTGATCTTTTTATTTTTGTTAAGAATTATTTAATTTGGGACCAGCAGATGGCGTAATGGCTATGTGGTTGGACTCCCATGTCATCGATCACAGTTCAAGTCCCAGTCCTGGTGGCTTAAACTCACACCGGGTGCGGGCGCATGTGCATGTGTGCCCAAGATCCCAAGAG